ATTAAATGGACGGGCCACTCGTGATTACCCACTAAAAGCCCATTATATGATGATCAATTGGGTTCACTCTGCCAGGTGCTCGAGCCCAGCGACAGGGCAAATTTGGTAATTCGGAAATAATACATACTATATATAAATTATATAAATTTGGTAATCATCCCTCCGTTGCATAAATACCCAAAAATATATATTTTTGGCTTCAAGAGCATTCAAACTTTTGATGTTATGATTGAGAACATGCATAATCGGTTGAACTATGCTTAGTTTAAATACCCTTAAAATATATCCATAATTATTTTAAAAGGTACTTTGGAAAACTTTGTATTAATGGGTTGAAAACAAGCCACTCCTATTGTTGAATGCTTGAGATTTGTACAACTTTTTAGGGGGATTAAAATTGTTTCTCAAAATTAAATTATGTCATTTCCACACGTACAAAATTAGGATGATTTTTCTCACAATTTTTAATCATATATATCAAATTTATTAAAACATAAGTTGGTATCATTAGCCCAGATTTAAAAATAAGCAAGCTTAAAAAACTACTAGTTTTATTTGTATGTTTTTTATATATTTTTCAAAATCATCTTATGTTTTTGAAAGATGTATTTTTTAATAAACAACAATATAAAAAATGAAAGTTAAAAAATTAAAATAAATAAATAAAAAAATTATATTTAAGCACAACAGGTGATAGTGATAAGCTGTGCTGGCAATTAAAATAAATATTTTTATATTCAAGTAAAGATTAAGAGCGAAAATAAGTATCTAACACCAAAATCAAATAATTTAAAAATTTTGATGAAAAAACGAGATTTAGTTTTAAAATATTATTATTAATTTTTACGAGTATATATATGTGTCAACAAAACCCTAATATATAAGCCGTATCATCCCCTGCGGAAACCTAGCCTCCCCGATAGCAGCTCTTCGTCTGGGTAAGACCTTTCATCTGATTAGCTTCAGCTCAAACTCTCAATGGTTGAATCTCTCTAAATTTAGGGCTAGGGTTCAAATGCGATGCTATTAGATGGATTTCTGCGCGTATACTGAGTTTTCATTCCTTTTTATCATCAACAGGTCGGAGTAGCGATTAGGTAGAGGGTTTTACAATGGCTCCAAAAGGTAAGTTTATCAACTTCTACCTCTCGCCGTTCTCGATTCGTCTGGTTTATTTACTTATTTAATAATCTTGTTCATTCGTAGCTGCATAGACATCCTCACATGTTTTTCGATGATATTTTCATTACTGCGGTTCGATAATTACTCGACATCTTGTTATACAGTAAAGATTCGGTTCTTTGGACTCAGTTGTTCAATGAAGATTTGAATAATCTGTTTTGAATTTAGTCAGCTATCTGTAGGTTACCAACTTCATAAACTCGTACGGAAGGTTTAAGTCTTAAGTCCCATTTTATTTTTTTCGTGTCAGTTGTTTGGTTTGGCAAGCCCATTGTCGCCAAGCAGCTTGTGTAGGGTAGGGTCAAAAGTATATTAAATGGTCATTAGAAGTTTATTATTAGCTTAAATATCATTTTTGTAAACTACGTTATAAGGCTAATGGAATTTATAAAAGATACGTGTTTTATTATGTAAGATATGAAGTTTTATGAGTAAGATAATGAATAATGTTATGTCTATGAAATGGATTCATGTCTGTTATGTGCTGCGGTAAGTTTGATATGGTAAATCAGTGGTTGGATTAGATTGTCATCAAGCAATAGCGAGCGGATCATGTCTAAACATCTGTAAACATCTAAATTTTCAAAATTTCGTTCAGTGTCTAATGTTACTATGCCTAGCCTTCTCTAGATGTTTATATTCTGGCTATTTTTTCAATTCTGAAATAATATTGCTTTTTAATTATGTAACTTTTTTTTTTCAGAAACATGTATATTAAAAAAAGAAAAGTATACAGCCTGAAGGACAGGGGATGAGAAAGCCCCCCTTTTTTTTAATTATGTAACTTGTAAATAAATTGTTTGGCATAGATGGTGGAATTCGGCCTATTCTATTTTGAATCGGAGATTCTTCAAGCATGACAGGATATTGGAGTTGTATGATAATGATAATCAGTCTAGTCTTTTATCTGTTCCTTTTTTTCTGGGTTGGATCGGATTTCATTGATTAACAATCTTCTTTATCTACATTGAAGACCGGTTTCAGAACATCCCACATCCACATCCACACGCACACACAAAGGACTTGTATATAATTCATTAGTTTTAGGTGATTTAAGCCTTTAAAACTTGACACTTTTGTCTTCCCTCAGCTGACAGCACCAAAAAGGCCGACCCTAAGGCTCAAGCCTTGAAAACTGCGAAGGCAGTAAAATCAGGTCCAACGTTTAAGAAGAAGGCGAAGAAGATCAGGACATCAGTCACATTTCACCGCCCCAAGACATTGAAGAAGGAAAGGAATCCCAAGTATCCACGCATCAGTGCTACTCCAAGGAACAAGTTGGACCATTATCAGATTCTCAAGTATCCTTTGACCACTGAGTCTGCAATGAAGAAGATCGAGGACAACAATACTTTGGTTTTCATCGTCGACATCCGAGCCGATAAGAAGAAGATTAAGGCCGCCGTGAAAAAGATGTACGACATCCAGACAAAGAAAGTAAACACCTTGATAAGGTAATTTGAATGACGCATTGCATTCCTATAATTTCTACTTAGAATATTTAGTTGGCTGTTTTCAGATACCATCTCGTTCTTAACTGTTATGTGGGGCTTCAATAATCTTGTGAAAATTTATTGTCTAATCCAGCTCAAATTCTAACAGTGCGGATTATTATTCATCTCATATAGTGTTAATTCATATAATGATTTCATGCTTTGTACAACAATTGCAGGCCTGATGGGACTAAGAAGGCATACGTTAGGCTGACTCCCGATTATGATGCTTTGGATGTCGCAAACAAGATTGGAATCATTTAAGTTATTAGAATTTGTTGCTTTTTTTTTTTTGAGAGAATTGATTATCTTTCGCGATGACATTTTTGATTTATGGAATGACCTCTATTTTCTCTAGCAAATAGTAAGTTGTTTTTCGTTAAGCTGCTGGAATGCTTGTTGAAATGGTTGAAGTGCTTGAATGTTTTAGTAGTTTTCATCTTATTGGCTTAAACTATTTACTCCTTGGATATTACAATTTAGGGTTTGTTATGTTGGTGATTGAAAAATATAAATCTGTAAATAAAGTTGTCAAAGGTATGTTTTGTAAGTGTTTTTAAAGCTATGTTTGGTAGTAGATCTGAAAATTGAATCTAAATTGTTTTTGTGTATTTGTAAATTAAGAGTAGTTATTAATTAAATTTAAAATAATATTAATTGATTTATTGATATATTTGTTGAAAATTATGTACGATTATTATTTAACCGTATTATTATTTTTAGAACAAATATTATTTTATAACATGTCATATTTTACATTTTTTTTTATTTTAACAAATGTGTTTATAACACATATAATTTATTTATCAAAAAGTTTAATTCTTCGTTTTAAAGTTTTAAATTTAAAATTTGAAAATGCTGAAAATATAAAAATTTAAAACAGGTCTGCCAACAGTCTGGAAATTAGAAACATTAGTTTAAAATATTAAAGAACAAAAAATGATTGTCAAATATATTTATTTTTCGATTGAAAAACAATGAAACAGAAAACTAGAAATAAGTCACTCTCTCAAATAACTTTGACCTCTCTTGATTTCGGAAATTTGGTTCTTGAACATATCTTCCGCAAGAGTAAGACTATATATAGCTGTGTCATTACACCACTGACTTTTTGGTGCTACTGCAATTTTTTACATATTCATCCGATAATACAAGGCATTGCAATCTCTCTAAACTCACTCCTCAATCTAATGAATAAAGATACAAATGGTGACACGAGTTACTGAAGATACAAATGGTGACACGAGTTCTCAACAATCTGAGAGAGAATCAAAATGGAGCTGGAATGATTGTGAAGGAACACCATCAAACGTTTGAAATTGTGAAGGATTCAACAACTGTGCGCAATTTATCTTTCATTTTCTCCCACCTCCTCTCGTTTGCTCCGGTTGTCAAAGTGTAGAATTTTCCTGCCATTGGAGGAAGGATATAATCGGAACAAGGTATGGAAGAGCTTTGTTAGGAATCTTAGGGGCTTGTTTGTGAATTGTTTATTGAATAGTTTGACTTCTTTTAGCAAAAATTCAGTAAAAACATTTTTGAATAGCTGTTCTTTAAAATACAATTTGAAAACAGCTTGTTAGACAAGCCCCTGGGATAGACCAACAAGATTAACTTGGAGAAAAATTACCCCAACAACAATAAAATAAGACTAGTGAAGTTGCATACCATTGGAAACGGCAATTGTGCTAAGAGCATGGCGAGTGTAGTTTGGAGCTTGAGCTACAAACTCAAATGTGTAGTATGCTTTTCCATCAACATCATGCTGCATCATTATTTTGAAATAAATCAATTAAAAATACACAGGCAAATAAACTTGACAATTCAGACAAATTTGACCTCCTCAAAAGCTTGTAGTAAGCCCATCTAAAAGAAAGCTTTTAGTTAATAAAAAATCAGATGAAAATTGAGTTGTAACAAATCCATAAACTAAAATAATTTCGCTCCACTCGATCACATAGACAGAGTTATGAATATCAAAACAAGTTAATAGCTTATTGGTTGTTGTCTCTTTGTTTAACAGGCCAACTTCACAGGAAGTGCTATTGCTATTTTGAAATAATATGTGCTTAAAATTTAAAATGTATTTAGCAATTAGCATATCTACTACAATACAGTGGAAGTAAGATGGGCAGGCAAGCGATCCCATTTGTGTCTGGTTCTATCATCGATATTTGTAGGCAGGTGTTTGTGAGCAACAGGGTGAACTAGTAGACTATGTAAACCATTCACTTCACAGATTACATAAGGAATTTGCTTTATTTTTGGGTGTATTTAAATTTTAATACATTGCTTTACAATGATGTCAAGGACAACTGCAGAAGAATATTCCAAAGAACCTCACACCATAGTGTTGAGTTGAGATTCTTGTGCACCCACATTTAATGGGTAAGTTCATTTACAGCAACTAATTATTTCATTTCCTAGCAACTAGTATGATAAAACTCAGACGAAAGTGTAAATAGTCAAACCTCTGACGCTTCAATTAACTTTGTTTTTTGATTTGAAGGAGCTAGAACCTTCTTTATCAAAGTTTCTGCAACCTGAACCATAAGATACTCAGCTGAAGTTACCTAAAAGTTAAAATTACCAACTTATTGCATTATTCTAACACATTTTATTGCTAACCTGTTCAGGAGGCCCAAAATCTCGAATATCTTCTTTGCCGGTTGGAATCAAATTGACACTGACACTTTCTAATGGTTCAATTACATCTTTGAATACCTTGTCTTGTCCAGCAATTACTACTTCCTGCCCACTCCTCGAGGAAAAAAATACTTTGAAACATGCATATTGTATTGAGTAGTTATATTTGTTGAATGTGTGTAAGGAAGTGAAGAGGAGAAAAATGAAAAAAACTGAACAATTAGAGTACCTGCCACCCAAATGGATAAACAAACGAGTAACCATCTTTCTTGTCTGAAACTGACAGAAACCCTTTCTTTGTTTCTGCAGCAACTGAGCAATATCAAGCGGGCACTCTTAGGATATCATCATCCTTCAATTTGGAAGAAAGAAATACGATGCACGCTAGAGGTGCTAATTTCAGAACTAAACTCCTTGAATCAAAGCAACGAAAATGAAAGAGATATGTAAGATTTTGGTAAGTAATACGAGTGACATATCTTACATGACATGGAATTCATGTCCGCAAGAGAAATCCAAGTTATAAATGCACTGCCAGAAAGTAGCTGGCGTCTCCCAAGTCTATCTGCCAAAAAATAGAGCAACTATTGAAAAATGAATGCAATGAGGTCAACCATAGGAAGAGATATATTAGCAGTATAGAAAGTGCCTGACTGTGATAAACACATACAAACCATAAAATGGCATTTAAGTGATAAAAGTAATGAAGAAACAGTACATAGTAAGCTAACTAAGAAGACAATCCATAATAGCCTGGTCATGATTAAGATTTCACCCTGAGGTCATTTGCCTTGAAGCAAAATGCTTTTACATCCACGTAACAATCTTCTCCACAATAAAATGGGAATATTGGAACATGGGATTAGAATATCTAGCATGACTGCTGCGGACGCGGGTGCCCAAGGGTATAGGGGAGCAAAGCTCCAACTCCCAATTATTTTTTTTATTATTTATTATTATTTTTTTTGGAATCCGTGTGTCCGGGCTAGCTTGCGCGCACCTCGACTAATCACGGGTCAACCGCCTGATCCTACTATATTTGGTTGATAAGGTAACTCGTAGGATATTAAATCCTAGGTAGGTGGCCACCCTGGTTTGAACTCATTCCCTCTAAGTCCTTTACTATTTACAAAGGCCCTTATTGACCACTTGAGCCATCCCATGATGGTTCTCCGACTCCCAATTATAAAAACAACAAAAATCTAGCATGACTTCTAGCTTACTTCCACACTCTTGGAGTCGAGGCCGGTGTGCCTTGACACTTCCCAATTAACTTATTGTTGCTTTAGTTGAACTAAGGTCTCTACTAAAACAAGAATTCAAACTAGTTTGAGATCACTTTACCATGACCAGTCCACTTGATGAGTTGCTAGTCCTGAGAAGGAAGATATTGATATTCAACAATTTGGTTCACACGACAAAATTGGTATTAGTGCATTAATCTGGTAAGAAATCCGTAATACTGTAGCACCTACGAACTAGGGCGAAGTTATGCTTTTTAAGATGATATCCATAGTACATATCTCACTTTGTTTGCATCTCCTTTCCATTAATTAGCTTTCTGTGTGGTTTTTTTCTATTACATCCAACAACAACCATGTTCTTACTAAACCCTGTAGCAGCAACTTCAATATAATACAGGTATTACTTTACCATTTTCTTTCTATAACTTCCAACATATCATTAAAGGTTATAAAACATTCTTCGCTCTCAATTTGCTTGAGCCAAGTTATCCCGACACATAACACAGTCACTGCCAAGCACATTCAATTAACTCACAAAGCCAAGCTAAATGCAAGTATCATCAAAACTCTAACCCAAGAGACGTCTAATTTTCCATGTCAATGTGCTAAACTGACCTTCGGAACTGCACGCATGGCCATTAATGGAAGATGCGTGTGCTTGCTCGGCCCTGACAAGAAACGAGATCCCTGCTCTGCAGCAAATAAATCTTCCACGGAGTTTCTGCGACCGCCAAAACAATACTGATCGTTAATCAAGATAATAAGGGATGAAAAATGGAATGATTTTGGAGGAATTGTGAACCTGAGAAAGTGAATTGACAAAGAGAGAGTTCTGGACGGAGGATGAGCAATGCAGGGAAGCCATTGAAGAAGGTCTATTGCTTGTGAATCGTCTGGTTCGTTAAAGCAAGATGACCTTATCTTTTGGGCTGTTCTTGGATTGCCTATCCGTTATGTTCGCGGGTTCACTCAGCCACATTTCTTGCCGTCGGCCCCTCACCCATTTTTCTTTTTCTTTTTCGATTTTTATGTATAACTTCGGAAAATAAAAAAATAATACAAATTTGGACTAAAAATATATATTTTCTTACTTTAACAAGAACTTAAAAAATAATAATTAAAATCAGTCAAAGTCGTTATGAAAAAACCGATTTATGCTCTAGTTTATAAAAACTGTGATATTTTAAGATATATATTAAAATTTAGATGTATTTGGGAATGTTTCTGGTACAGTTTTAACCCGTACTAAATAATAATTGACATATATCTCAAATTAGTAAGTTGTGAGTTCGATCCCTCACCCCTACCTGTTGTAAAAAAAAAAAAAACTACTTTTCTATTTTGTAAAATCACAAACATTACTATTTCAAAAGAATGTGACTTGTTAGTGCGACATAGTTCAGTGGTAATTGACATATATCTCTAAGATGGTGAGTTCGATCCTCCACCCCACATGATGTACTAAAAAAAGAATATGACTTAACACGTTCTAATATTTTAAAATGACTTTATAAAAGGTTAGCCAAAATCACTCTTCAACGTGTCAAAACTATAATTCTCTTATGCCATACTTGTTTCGAGAGATTGTCATTTATGGATGCCAAAGTTTTTCATTTCAGAACCATGGGTCATTTTCTAAAAAATGTTTATTATAGTTATTCCTGACATAAAGTACAACCTGAAATTAGTTTTGTATCCACATTCCTTAACCAAATCTTCTCACATTTCTTGTTTTTTAAAAATTCTTTAGCCTCTTGACAAAAACATTTTTTAGATGTATAAAAATGAAAAAACACATGAGAAAGAAGTCAGTTGGAGACCAAATTGATGAGGTTTGTTACGAAATTAAGCCAAATCTAAATATTTGTGATTGAGATTAGTTACAAATTGGGATCTATCAATTTCTATTTTATACTGGACAATTCAAAATAAACCAGAAAAATATTATGACAAATTACAAATAAAATTGATAAAATTCTCAATAAATTTCAGTCAGAATTCTTACAAAATTGTGTTAAAATTATAAGTTGAGAGGTTGAAATTTTTGTTGAGGGAGATTACTGAAGGAAGAAACGAAGGAAGGGCCAGAATAAAGAATTTTACCCAGAGTTGGAATTTCCCCAGGGTCTAACAGGGGTAAAAACGGAAGAAAAAAAGCCAGATTTGACTTGGTGAAAGTAGAAACCGCAAGTTGCAGTTCCCACATCGAAAAGGCGCGAGTGATGGGCATGGGCAGAGGAGTATAAATAGAATGTTGGTGGTAAAGAAAAACTTGCCTTAAACTAATGAGTAAGGAAAACAAAGTGGCCGGGGGGATCCGGCCGCAGCGCTTCTAGTTGCAGTGCGCAAGAATTTGTGGAGGGGTTATAGGCTGGCCGATCGTTGACGCTGCTTACTTCGCAGAACTCTTTCGTGCTGGCCTCCCAGTTACCCACCCCCCAATTCCAAGTCCAATAATTTCTACGTTCTTCAATCGTCACGCACAATTAATTCGATAACCCTAATTTTTGAAATTTGATTGAAGAACTTGCCTGATGAATTTGTATATATGATCTTTCCAATTTATGCTAATTTTGCACTGTTGATTACTGTTTTTAACCCTAACTATCGCTATTTTGTATTTTGGCGGCATTTACCCTAGATTAGGACGTGGAACTCGCGATGGGACCAGATCGTAAAATCCGTATGATTTTCGATTTCAAAGTAATGTTTACTTTCGATTACTTTTTATCGAACTGTAATGTTTTGTTGCAATTCTGGAAACCCTAATTTGGAATTGGACAGGACGACTGGATTTGGAAGACAAAACGGCACCATAGGCGGAAGATGGGAGAGGGAAAACCCTAATTTGCTGAAATTGGATCCCTGGTCGACAACAGAGATGAAACGTCACTGATTTATTTGTCGATTTCGGTAAGGACTTCCGATTTACGAAGTTCTAGTTGCAACCGCTTTTCAGATGATATTGATCGACGATCTCGATTGAAGATTGTAAGGTATTTGTAACGTGCTTGGCCGAGAAGCGATATCATCATTGATACGTTCCTTCACGGCAAGGAATTGAATCCGGAGAAATGCTCGGTGCGGCTCGTTCTTCTCCAGATTCGGCCTGCAACATTTTGACCAATTTTGCCGCGGCCGGTCCGGTGTTCAACTCCGAGGCCGGTTCGGTCTATCACGATTTCGTCTATGTGCGACGAACCTGATACAGATGATTCCGATGATAATGGAAAAAATGGATGCATTTCAATCCGACAGGTAGAACATATGAAATTTTGGTCTTACTAACATGAAACATGCTACGTCTGCTCCGTGGTTGAAACAATTTTGGTCGAGAATTTTGCATGAATAATGTATTTAAGCCATGTAATTAGTTATTAGTATCTCTTTATTCATTACCAATCAGGTTTCTTCTGAATATACATAACTCTGAGCTTCATGTTTTTTAACATCATCCCAAGGATCACTTGAATATTTAACTCGAAAAGGCATTTTAATAACTGAATAGTGAAAATTTATATTAATATTATTTACATACATTCTATTATTATCTCTAATTTGATTAAGTTGGTGAAATCTTTAAAAGAAAAAGACTATGATGATCCAGTTTGCATGAACAATTAAATACTACTCGTTAAATGATAATGTATCCGAAGACTGGCTTTAGTGCATTGCTCTGTGCACTAATGACTGTATTGTGATGAGATATGCGTTTTACTTTATTTTGCAAGCCATTTGAGTTTTGCATAGCTTATGTTGCACGTTTGGATGGAGTGAACTACTTATTTATCCTGCAGACATAGCGACGAAATATCTTCGAAGTTATTTCATGTTGATTCTCTCTGTGCTACCTGTGTTGATTTTTTTTTTGTTTTTTGTCCTGTGCCGTCAATAGCAAATAGCAAATTTATTTGGCTGTTTTCATCTCTTTGGTTGCTGATCGTTGCTTTATTTTATCTTGAATTTTGTCTTATGCTGGTTGTGTTTTGCAGGTTTTCTAAAAAATTAGTAGAATTTGAGGCGATGGCTTCAAACAAACACTTCTAGATGTTAAGAGAGGGTTCAAGTTTCTACTTAATGCCCATTACTAGCCAAATTATAGTTTAAGCCAAAGAAAAGAAGCAGAAGAAAGATGAGAGAAGGCACCACAAATTCCTGCTACTTGGGTAAGTGAAGAAAACTTTATTCTATACTGTTTGGAAGTTTGGAAGAAATCAAGGAATTGAATTGGAAATTACAAAGTAAGCTCAAATGTTCATATACAGTTTGTCCTGTGAATATGCTATGAATTTCAGGTGTCAATCTACGATGTCTCATGCTGAATGATTGAATGTTTTTGGAAAATAGAATTATTCTATTTCAATTTTAAGTGGTTTTTTAAATATGAAAGCTTATTTAATTGAGTGGCAGATTTTGGAGTATCTATCAGCCATGTTCTACTCTTAACCATAGTATCTTTTCCATTGAGATTCAATGAATGTGGTTATTTTAGACTCAAAAACGAAAATTTGAGCAAGGAAACTCTTCAATGTTAGGTTTCTATTGGTTTTTACTGAAATGACTTAAAAACTGCTATATAACCAAATATTGGAGCTCATGTTTGTTTTTATATAATTAGATGTTGAAAAAATCATCACTTTTGAGGAAACCTTTTTTTTTTTTGTGTGTGTGTGTGTGTGTGTGTAATGGGTTTCTTTTTCTTCTTCAAACACGAGCAGACTTTCTTAGGCAAATACAAGGAGGGTTAAAGCCTTAAAGAAGACTTGGAAGACCGTTCTTCTTCAGCCAATTTTTTGACTTTTGAGTTCCAAGGCTGTAAACAATTGATCCACAGGAGTCCAAGTGCCCAAGAGGTATGGAATCTAGGGGTATCCACAGTCTCTACACACACGAGGAGAGAGGCTATTATGTTTTCTTTTTCCTAGTTTATGCATGCATAATTTACTTTGAATATGAGTAGATTTTCGTAGGCAAATATAAAGGAAACTTGGAAGACCATTTCCTCCAGCTAAATATTCGAGTTAATGTCTGCTAAAACTTATTCACAGGGAGATTGAATGCCCAAAAGGTATGAGATCAAGGTGGTACCGACACACACGAGAGAACATATAATCTGCTTAATCTGGAACATCTCCAGCTGATACCATAGGCCTACCATGTAACTTTGGAAGTGCAGGCTTCTCTAGTATGGTTGTCTGGTCTGTAATATTTTTTCTTTCTATGATGTTCATAATACTGATTTTTGAATTTGGTGGTACTAAGAAATTAGGAACTGTTTCGTGCTGCATAGAAGTTATAAACTTTTTGGTTATTCTATTTACTTGTTTAACTATTATTTCAATTGCTATGTGACAAAAAATTCCCTATTATTTTGCTGTAATTTTCTTGTTTCCCTGTCCATATACTTTTAGGCTCGCAATGTGCACATTCTGGGTTATTTAGTTCAAATCTCAAAATTTGCGTTGACATGCTAGACATTTCTACTTCTTTATAGACCCTACTCTTTGAAGGCCTTGTATCAAGTTGATACTATCAACAATATGAAGTTCATGATATTAAGGTAGTTTACACCTTTTGGATTAATGTCTCATAGTTAGTTGTCTATTAGTGTTCGAAATTCTAATATCCATGAATTTCTGGAAATTTCCATAGATGATTTGAGTTAATTGGTACTAAAATAGCATGCTTAAAACTATGAATTTAGCTAAAAGAATAACTTGACATGGAGTTTGATTGGAATTTATGCAAGTTTCGAATTTATTTTTAGCAGATTTGATGCTTCCTATTCTTGATTTTTTTTTTATTATTTTTAAAGTTGAAGAATTTGGGGTTGTTAGGATTGAAAGTTGCAAGAATTTTTAACTGAGCAGATCTTTTTGTTCAAAACAGATCCATATAAACTCTACAATTCTAGGTTGCTGAATTCAGATATATGGTATGGAGAAATTTGATGGTTAAATTCATCAAAGCTCCTTCAGTGATATGCTCAGAGTCTGAATACAAAGATATTTGATACACTCCGATCGAATAGGATGGGGAAAAGAATATTTAGGTATTGACTGTGACTCTGAATAATTTAGGGTCTATTTGATAACGTTTTTGTTTTCAAGTATGATAAAACAAATTTTTTATTTATGTTTTGGAGCACATTAGAAATGGGAACAATAAAGGAGAAACTTGTTTTGGTTGTTTCCAAACCTTGTTATATAATTGTGAGAATGTTTTCAATAAACGATAAAGGAAAAACCAGAAACAAAGTTAGTTGTAAAATATTTAGATTTCTTAAGAAAATAAAAAACGAGAAATAAAAAATGGGAATATTATCAAACAGGTCATAAGAAGATACCTACAAATCTGTCATTATTAGGAAAAAGAATGAAATAATCATACACTTTGGAGAGTACAACATACCTGCTTAATAATAGAATGCTAGAGCTTGGAAGTATAAAATTCTTAGATTTTTTCTTTTGTTCTAAGACATTTATTTGATAGAAGTGAATTTGACTGAGAATGTTAAATGTACAATGCACTAAAAAGATTATTAAGAGATTTTAGCTCTTCGTGGATGGATGTTACATTTTTTTTTTCTGGGGTCAAGATACTGCGAAAACAACATTTATAATGTAGACCATAATTTTTGGAAATCAACAACAGAAATAATTGAGAAATAATATGTAATTAAAATTAGGTGGGCGTGAGAACGAGTTTTTAGTTTACACTGTTGAGATATCGTCCCTTTGTCTTAAATCATTGTTGTGTTCGTCGCTTGGGATTCGAGATTCAAGGTCATCTTTACTTCCGTTCGACTCACCATCGACAATTTGTATAAGGTTACAATTTTAATAGGTGACAAATATGAGGGGCCGTGCTTGATGTGAGACTTAACCTAACCTCGATATGTGTTGGTGACAACCATGTACTGCTTTGTTAGTATTAAGGCACTACTCTCTATGAACTCCGGGCCAAGCTCTAGTAAGATTTGTTTTTCCTTTGATATTTGTTAAACCTTCTAAAATAGTTTTTTTTTTGACACATAAACCTTCTAAAATTGTCTACCTACCCTAAAAGAAAAATGATAAATTTCTATGCTTCAATATATTCGTTTAAGAAAAAGAAAAAAAAAATTATATCTTAACCGGGAGTTGAATCCCACCCCACATGTTAGTACAAACAAAAAAAAAAAAACGAGCTCGTAGTTCCTGATTTTACCTCACATGATATGTTTCTGATCAGCTCCGACATTTTTTGCAGTCATCTTATTGGGAATCAAGCTTTCTAAGACAATTACATGCGATATTTGAGGCAGCGTAGATTCTTGAAAAGGACCTGATTGTTTCAAGAGTAAGTTTGATCTTTGTGGTTCTTGGCTTTGAAAGCTTTCATTAAAGTTGAATCGTAAGAGCTATGATTTGACAAATCCTCGATTACGTGGGGTTTTCATAAGTGAATGTATTATTGTCGAAGAGTTTTTGTTCAGTTGTTTACTCTCATGATCGGTTTGATCACGAAAATGACCAAGCTAGTGAACCTCAGTTCGGACGGGATGAGCTGGAACGGAACTTGCTCGCGTACCCATGGTAAGGGGGACATCAGGCTCAGCCAAAGACGTCCAGGTCGGTTCAACCAAAGAATGAGAATAGGACTCAAAGGAAACTTGGTCGGCTCGACCATATTGGACGTCAGCTTGGTAGTAAACCCCAATACCGAGTTGATGCCCTTGTCCACCTAAAGCCATGTGTAGTTTTCTCCTCCAATAAGGATATGCCACGTATGAGGTCCTCCGACATAATCTCTTATGATGCGTTATAATTTATAATTTGTTAGAATGTTTAAAACTTGAAACAGGGTCAAGGTTGGTCAGCCTTCAGCAAAGCGAAGTTCAGGGCATGGTTAATGAGTTAACATGCTAAGATGTGGAATATTATGCAACGTTAATTATAATTATGCAAGTTATGCTGACTACGAAACTGAGCATAAGGTTTAGTAGCATGAAAAATGAAAATTTAATAGAAGATGCAAAAGATTTTTTTTTAAATTTTGATTCTGTACAACCAATCTATGTTTGACATGTCATCACATATGATCCAAAATGATATGATATCTAATCACCAAGTGGGTTCTATTGACGTGGCTTTGATACACATTTTAGTTCACATGAGCCTTGGAATTCTCAGTCACACATTTTTGGTAACTTCTGGAGGAATTACGGACCACCGGGGGTAGGGAAACTGATCTCATTTGGACTCTTGTTTTGGAGGTAATGTTAAGTTTAAAATTGGCCATGCTTTGTGATAACATTGAAAAAACGGGGCAAATATCTTTTTCTGGAAATAGGCAAATTTCATCCCAATCATTGATGTTTCATTATTTCTGCTATTAATTTTTATCAAAATATAACAGATAGCTTAGCGTTTGTGTTCTCTGATTCATTTATTGATTTTTCTGTGACAGGACTTATTTTTCTCCCTTCCATAATGATGACTTTGCTTCATAATCGTAGTAAAAAAGACAAACTTCGTAGAATTCCATGAGAATATGGGGACAATCTGGCGCAAATTATCAAGTATCGATGAAGTTCTATTATCATGCACTATACTCCAACCTTAGAAAAGCATACTTCAGATTTCAATCCATAAATCACCATTACGATAGATTGTATGATTTTCAAATCTTCATAAAGCTGGTTATTCATAGGGAACAAAAGAAAAGAAAAGAAAAGAACTCAACTTGGTATACTCAAAGAAAAATGAGAAATCCAAAACCAGTAAAGATGACAGAGATCAATACCTTTACGTCCAAGTGATTGCTCTAATTTGATTCAATTAGAGTTGATTGTGTTTTCTTTTTCCCTTTTCCCCTCTTGATAATGTTTCCTTCTTTCTTCATTTTTCAGGATACAATTACTTCTCTTGTAGATTTTGAATGCGTAGGTCCACTGGCACTTGCAATCAGTGCTGAAACACGAGGCAAGTTACTTAAAATAAGTTGGTTTTAAACAGCACTCAGTGCTGATGTGGCAGGAATAATCAACCGGGGCATGCCACGAGAAGGGACATGGCAACTTCAGGGCAGAAAGATGAGTATTCTTATTCATTGGAAGGACTTGGAAATGGGCCTGCAATGTTTGTCTAGAATAGTGATGAACGAAAGAGTAGCCAAAGAATTAGTTTTGGCTACACTATTGAAGGATGCCACCTTGTTGCCTTGAGCTGAGCCTATAAGTTTTTGTCTGCTTGGAGGACTCTTCATTTGGTCCGGACCCCACTCACGTGGATTGGAGTCTCTGATGGTAAGTAGAGAAGACAAAGGAATTGTCATTCACAAATCTACTCTAATCTCTTCCCAGCCAATAATCACCCATCTCCCACGTGGGACTGCCTGCCCCACCATCCTCGTCCCTGCACTTATTTAAATACCACTATAATGCTATTGTTGTTGCTCCCCCTATGAGTTGATCACTCATAAACATCGACTTTATTGCTCTGTATATCATCTTGTTTTCATTGCTCGAGCCTTAGGAGGATATCAGAGATTTTCTGATAATAAAACATGGCAGATTCTTCTGCTTCTTACATACATATGGTACTTGGTGCTTTTGGTTTGGTTATTTTCCTAATTTAATGATTAAAATCCATTCTGCTTGTATTAGTAATCTTCTTGATGGTGGTGACAAATTTTGCTGTAGGTGCAGCACCTGATAGAGAAGTGTCTGATCTTCCACATGACAAAAGAAGAATGCATGGACGCTCTATCCAAACATGCAAATATTAAACCTATCATCACGTCAACAGGTAAACCTTTTCTGTGTGTTTTCTATTACCCACCATAGATATGGTCACAAGGATGTGTATAACTTTGATACTATTAATTGGGTTTCGACAGCAAGACCACGCCTTAGAAAATTAAGCACTTAAAACTTATTTGAAAAAACGAAAAGTGTTTTGTTTTGTCTATAATTAGTCATGCATGATCTCATTCCATTAGCATTGGGCAGACAGAATCACTAGAGAACTACAAGTTACTTTGTTATTTATTTACTTTTAAAGTTTGCGCTTGCCCAAGGCTCAGACTTTGAGACATCAAAATTTTTCTTGTTAAACTCATCTAAAGATTCAAACACGCAACTTCTAGATAAGTGTTACTCAAAGACCGTCCACCTTATTCAACGGAGCTGCCTCTTGGGAGCTACTAGTTCCTTTGTTATTTGCAATGTTTACCAGCCCCTTTAAGTTGAGTATATATTTCAAACTTCAATATTAATGCTTTCTAAGTCTTTTTCTTTTTGTTCTCTGCTCCTTTTTCTTGGGTTTCCCCCCCTTTTGTACTGTCCTGGTAATTCTTTCATTTCTTCTCAATAAAAGTCGGTTTTAGAAGCGAAAAAAAAAAAAACGCCTTCAATAATGCCTTTTAAACCTTGAGTTACAAGTTTCTGAATCTCGTTCTTTGTTCCTCTATATCCATAAACATATATATTGATTTTATTTGTATTTTACATTGATAATTAACCTAAATCGTTAAACATTAATGTGGACAGTTTTTTTTTTTTTTTAAAAAAAATTAAAATTCATGCTTCTTCCATATGCAGTGTGGAGCGAATTAGAGAAGGAAAACAAGGAATTCTTCGAGGCATATGCACAATCTCAAAGCAACAAAGATAGAATGAGTGAAGAAGAGACAAGCCAAATGATCCAAAAGATGATCTCGGATTCCTCCAAAGGGGACCCTAAAAACTAAGCCTGCCATGACAACGATCTTACCTCTGAGTTCTGGTTGGTACTTCAAATTCTATCATGACAATCAGACAAACTCGCACAGAGAATCCATTGAGGTCCCCATGAATAATTTAAATCATTACGGAAATGAGCACGGAGTATAATTTCATGGTCCCCAATTATAGTAATCTTCCTCAGTTGCTATAACAAGGTGTGTTTTGTCCTCAACCAATCATATTGTGCCATGTCAATATACATTTACTTGAATGTATTAGTTGGACAATAGCCATTGGATGTTGGATGTTGCTTTATCTCGAAGTTTATGTCCTTCATTCTACATTGGGAGAGGTTTTCCCTTTTGTCTGTGGTTTTTTTGCAGTCAACGTTTTGCATTGATCAATAAATGAAGCAAATATTCATGTGGGGGCACGACTACTTGGCCTTTTCTTGTTCAAAGCATGAACCTTTTTTATGGGTAAGTGAATGTGATGTATGTGGCTTTCTTCTAGTCACGGTCCATAATCAAGATACCCTGTCCCTCTCGTTGGTTTGGGTATATGTGAAACTGCCTTGAGAATATATCAATGCATTTGGGTTTATGTGGACCTTTCTCAACCAATGCTTTGATGCTATGCCTTCCCTCGAGGATTTAGTATAGAACTTTCAAAATTAATTTTTTGGTTTCTGAACTTTTAGAATGTCTATTTTGATCTTGGCAAATGAATTCAGAAAAAAAAATGGAGTTAGATAAGTAAGCAAGGAGGAGAGACTAGAAAAGATGAGGCAATGGACTCTCCATTTCTAGGAAGATTGTGTTGGTAATCTAACCCTTGCTTCTTCTAGTCAATTGTTATAACTTTGTCTCTAAACTTTTAAAAGATCTATTTAGTTTCCAAACTAAAAAAAAAAATTTTTTTTAGTCCATACCTTTATTTTTCTTTTAACAATTTGATAACTTGACTTTGAGGGGGTGTATTATCATCTTCACATTAGTCTGAATTCAACCCATATAGATTGAGGGCGACTATTGAGTAAGTAGATGTTAGGTGGCAGAATCAAAATAATTATCCTTTAATTATTTAGAGATTGGAATGAATATTTCGAAAGTTCATTGATCAAAATGTGATTTAAATATAAATCTTAGTATTATTGACGTGCAAGATGGATAGTAAGTTGTTCTAATGTCTCTCAGTTCCAGAATTGGAATCAGATTCCAAGAAGTTTACTTCTAGTAGGAAAGATGATTCTTAGATTTTATGAATGATGTAGAATCATTTTCTTCTATTTATTCTAACCATTTACTTGTAAAGAATTAGAATGAAATTTTCCAGGTTGGTGATATTATTGGAATTTCCATTGAGGTAAGTCTCAGCTCAAGGCCTCAAACGTACTACTGTTACACAAATCTCTAGGATGCATGTTAGTGCTTGGGTTTTTTTTTAGTTTAAATCTTGTTTTAGTTTACACTTTTTTCTTTTTAGTTTAAATCTAACAAAATCTAGAATGTAGCACCACAAACTTCTTTTTTGTTTATTTTATATTTTTTTAGTCAACGTGTGGGGACGGAGATGAACTTGTGATCTTTTAGTCGGAAAATGTAAAACAATGATAAATCTATCGAAATATAAGAGAATGAAAATAGGGTAGATTGTTAAAGTTAAGAGACTAGAATGAATTGAATGAATGGTTAACCTTTACGAAGGATTCATGTTTTACGCAATATTTAGTTCGGTAACTTTCGATCTTATGTAATTGAATTTTAAACTCAATAAGTGGTGAGATCAATAATGCAGTTATATTTTTCATTTATTTTTAAGATTTGTGGCTAGTTTTAAATATCTTTTTTCGGTCGGATGAAATTACTTTTGTGCTTGGATATGTTTTGGTTGCGCTTTGGCATTTTGTGCTTAGACGGTTTTTAATTACCTACTTGATTTTGTCGCTTGGTTTGTATATTTTCATGTTGATTTTGAATATTTTTTGATTGAGATTTGTGTGATTTAAGAAATAGAAACTTGGATTTATGATGTGTGTGGAAGTTAACATGAATTATGATTTTAAGATTTATGTAGGTCGGGATATTAGCAAACTTGTAATTTGAGATGAGCAAATCTCACGTCCTAAAAATGTATGTTTGGTTATCTTTGATCAGACCTGTGAGCAAAACACTCCATTAAAGTAATTTTTGGAGAGTGGAAAAAAACTAGAGAGAGAAATTGGGGATAAGGATGAATGACATTCTCGAAATAAAGAAAATCAAGTATTAGAAAATAAACTTTTTTCCTATGAATCTAGAGGTTAAAATTATATATATATTATATATTTAATTGGAACCAACAAATTTTTTTTATCAAAATATATAATTAATCAGTTAAATTAACAAAAATTTCAAAATATAGAGTTATATATAATATAATACATATACAATGTTGTTGTTACAAACAAAAATATCCCTTGAACACACAATTTTGCCTTGAGGGTCGAGGCCAAGTGCTATATATAGAAGAGAACCCATAATTGCACCAGGGTACAATTATTGATTTCTTACTATTGTCTTGACACTTGTCTCAACATAATTTGATACAACCTAAAGAGATAGAGTATGGCCGACAAGACACGTCCTTGACTGGCATCTTATCTCTTTGGAATCTACTTTTAAAAAGTAAAGATAAGCGTGGCCGACAAGAGGCATCTTATCTTTGAAAAAGCAGGAAAAGAAATAAAGTAAAGCGGAAATAATTACAACTTGACAAAATAAGAAAAGTTGGAAAATAAAGGCTGATATGACTGTTTTTGGACTGGATGCCTTGCTTTAGAAATCTGACGAAGTCACCCGGCTTCTTCTGATTTAGCGAGGATTGCGGATTCTGTATATCAATCGTAAAGGCTCCTCTGGTTTCCAATTAGGCCGTTCCATCCAGGGTCTTACTCTCGGCTTCCCGCCTTTCACTGCCCAAGGAACACCATAGATTTTCGACTAGAGTTGCCTTGTGAGATATGGAATCCTCTCATCTGAGTCAATCCTGTACGCTACCTGCGTTGCCTTGTGGTTGGTTATTCCACATCAGAAGCATGCCATCTACTGCATCGTGATTTCTTCTGCAAGTCCTTCACAAAAACAGACTGGGATAGTGATGATAAGATCGGAATACAATGATCTTATCGAAAATTCAAAATGAAATTTAAACAAATTAATTTACATAATAAGAAATTAAAATTAAACAATTGAAATATCTAGTCTCAGCTGGGCTGTGAATCTAGATATGGGTCGTTGATGTCGTATCCATCGAAGGGATCGAAGTCTTCTTCGTCGTCTACGRCATCATCGTTGACAGAGGCGGATGAGTCAACATCCGTCTGGACATCGTCGGGATCAGAAATCTGAACTGCGACGGTATTGAGGACCGAGTTGAAGTCGGCTTGAGATCCGGCTCCAGCAAGTGAACTCATGATCGTATTTCTCGCCAGAAGGAAGCTTTCATCTTCTTGCCTTGTGACGTCTTGGAGATGAACATTGGTTTTCAACCAATCCTTCATCTTGTCTGATTCTAKGTAGGAATAATCGAATTTTTCCCACYATTTGAMGCGGAGAGCTTTGCTCAACGCTTTAAAATTTCCACTGGGTCCTAGCTGGAAATTCCAGCAAAGGATCCATGGTATTTGAAAATACAAAGCAAATCTAAACGTCTTGGAGAGAGGAGACGAATAGATACTTTGTTGAAATAGGTGGTAAGATTTCTGAACTTCTACCGGAAAGATCTCTTCGGAGAGTCCAAAGTAAGTCCACCATGTTTGAAACCAAATTGGAAAGTGAGACTTGTAAGCTTGCTTACAGAATGTCACAAACCAGGAATGGTTATAGCCTTGCAACCAGAAGACAATATACCACGCTTTCATGTAGTCGCGRTAATTGTAAGTTTGCGGTTGGAAGGTTACTGACAGTCTCTTCCCTACAAACATGCCCTGTTTCCAAGAGGAAGGGGTAAGGATGCGGAAGATCCTGAGCTTTAAGTAAATGGTCCTAGAAGGATCATTTCTGTCTGGAACATGAGTTATTTCTGCAGACTTTGAATCTACTAGAATAAACTCATAATAAGTTCGGGTTTTTTGAAGATCCTCTGGCAGGTAGTTGAAGCCTTGAGGAAATATTTGCTTGCAGACTTCTTGGACTGAAGGTCCGTCGAACTCTGGTTCAATAATTGAATCTACTAGGGTAGTTCTKGTGAAATACCCAGTGATTGGAGGCCTTGGCTGAAAAACCTTCGGCCTAACTATTTGAGAAAACGAGGAAGGGTTCCTCGGAATCGTTGGTCTGGAAGTGGCGGCTGCCGTAGCAGGGCGCCTATTCCTCGTTGTATTGCCGCGAGGGCGTAACAACGTGCTTGAAGGGGTTGGAAGGCTTGGAGGGCCTGTTTGAATAGTCAAGGCTCTTTGGGAAGAACCTTGCYGACGCCTGRATACCGTTTCAAACTGGATATCCATAGCATAATTTTCTGCACTCATTGGAGATGGTAYAGATGTTTGAGTGACRGGCCTTTTGCCCTTTGAGGTGGCAGCCCTAGAAGAGGATGYTGCTGCTTGAGGAGAAATGCTTGATTCATTTCTCGGCGACGGGGGTCGCTGATTGTTTTGCGGCGGAGGCCGCTGGGAGTTTGGCCGTCTCCGGCCGGGAGGAGGTTYCATCTTGAGGAAGGGAGGTCAGAKCTGATTTTGGTGTCTTCAAGAGATGTTCTCTTGAGAGGTAATCAGCAAGGGAGTTTTCACTTCCTTTTATAGGCTCGATTTTGAAATCAAAGCAAGATAATATTGCCTGCCATCYTGCGAAGATTTGYTTYGAGACAAGATTCTTTACATRTTTTTCGAAGATGTATTTRCTTGCTTTTGAGTCTGTTCGTACAGTGAAATCCTTGTTGATAAGATCTCCCTGGAACTTTTGAACGCAAAGTACTATTGCTAAWACTTCTTTCTTTACTGTGGAATAGTTTTTCTGGGCACTATTCCATATTCCTGAATGRTAACGGATTATGGAGATTCTTCCGTTAACTTCCTGTTTGAGAACACCGCCGTAACCGATTTCTGAGGCGTCGGTGTCAATAATCAGGTGCGCCTGTTCATCCACTAAGGATAAGCATGTGATGCTTTTCGCCAGTGATTTGATTGATTGGACTGCGCGTGTATGTTCTWCAGTCCAAGGCTTTGGATTCTTTTTCAATCTGTCATAGAGTRGCCGACAGATTGTACGAAGATCTTTGATAAAGTCTCCAATATAATTCACACAACCCAAAAACCGYTGTAGTTGTGTTTTGTCTTGTATAACGTCTGGAAATTTATCCACAAATTCCAGAGACCTTTGGATGGGTTTGATGATCCCTTGATTAATATCATAACCGAGGAACCTAATCTTCGTTTGGAACAATTTAATCTTTGGTTGGGATACCACAAGACCATTTGCTCGGATGATATTGAGAAACAACTAGAGATGCTTGAAGTGCTGATCTACAGTGTTTGAGAATACTAGAATGTCATCAATGTATACTATTGTGAATTCTTGGTATTTGTTGAAGATATCATTCATTATCTTCTGGAATTCGGATGGAGCATTCTTCAATCCGAATGGCATGACGTCCATTGATATTGTCCGAATGGAACATTGAAAGCCGTCTTGTAACGGTCAGTTGGATGAATCTGAATTTGCCAAAACCCAGATTTTAGATCAAACTTTGAGAACACCTTCGCAGAAGTGATCCTTTTTAGTAAATCCTGACGGTTAGGTATAGGATACCTAATCCATTTTAGGACTTTGTTGAGAGGCTTGTAGTTTATGACGAGCCTA